TTTTAATCTCTACTTCTGTTTATTATGTTTATAGTGATTTAAATCTTTATCTTTGCCACATCAGTTTTACTTCTTCTATCATATTTCTGACTCTTTCCTCGAAATCTTGTCGTTTTAATCTCGTCAGCGTCACCTAATCATTCATTGTGTTGACTTATTGGCTTAAACAATGACCTCACGTGCTTTGTTTAATTGCAAATATTGTAATTTAAGCATCATGTGGTATGTGTTATGATTTGATGCTATATAAATAAAATAATTGAACTGAAATCTCACGAGTGGTTCAATAATCTTAAGTTGTTTTTCACATGCAGGTTTTATCTTGACTGACTTTAATGTAACATCTTAGTCGTGTTTTCCTGCTCGACGCGTCTTCGCTGGGGGAACGGGCTTCCATAAATGCCCTCGGTGTTGGAAAGCTGCCTGTGGTCGGGCAGGCGTTGGCTTTTGTGGGCCCGGACTCGCTGGGAGAGGCTGCCTCGCTCTGAATTATTAATGACCTACTGTAGAGACCAGCTCAGCCTCCCCCCTCATTACCTCACCCGCCTCTCGTGTCCTCTCCCTCTGAAACCTTCTGCCTCTTATCTCTCCGTGCTGCTGTTCGCTCTTTCAACAGCCTCCTTTTTCTTTTTCCATCTTTTCTTCTTCTCTCCTCTTCATTTACCCGCCTTCCTCTCTGCCTTTCCTCGCTCTCCCTCCGGAGGCTCGTGAGATTGTGTTATGTCACATTAAAGAGACAGGCGGCTGCTAAATGAAAAATACGACGTAATAAGACTCATCCGAGGAAAACTGTGGATTCAGCATCGATTTTGGATCGGTGTGAATTCGATTTTCTGGGATTCGGAGGAACTGGCTCCCCAGTTTCTCTCCGACATGTTCGATGTCTTCTTTTCACTCGCCCTGAATCTTTTTTGCCCGCCTACTCGTTACACCTTTTTTCTGTGTTTTGAACTATTGTTCCAATAAATTGTGGTGTTTTGAGGCCACAGGAACATGAAACTTGATGTAAAACTGAACCAGCTATTGGCAGCTGCATGTTGCTGCAAACCTGCTGATGTGCAGGAGTTATTGTTGAATTACTCAAACACTGAGGGAACTTTAATGTGCGATTGTTCTCTGGGGCTGTAAGCACAGCCTGTTTTGTAATATTTGAAGGGTTATATTGTTATGATCAAAGGTTTCCTCAGCAGGTCAGAGGGAGACCTGTGAGACGCTACAAGGAGCGTTGATTTGAATCCAAATGGCAGCTGTCAGCTTATTGGTGGGAAGGTGGGAGGGGCGGTGCTGCGGGTGGTGCTGCGGGCGGTCCTGCGGGCACCATGAAGCTCAAAGAAATATCACATTCAGCTGTCTGCAATTATTTTATAAACGTGTGTGTCTAAGGCAACCAACATGACAAAATAATTAGCACACCTTTGTCTTTAAGTTGCACAACCTGGTTACATTTGGCCTGCGGTTCAGCACCATGGACACTACCACAGCTTTTTATTGTGCATATGGACACTGGAGAAGTCTATGATGTATGTTTATT